TGTTATACAACAACAGGCCTGCTTTAAACTGTAACCATCCGTCTAATATCAAGTGACTCCTAGACAACTTTGTTATTGTGCAAAATCTCAACAAAATCGGTTTAATACTTTCTGAGATATGTGATAGATATTAAAGATTTGACGTGTTTAGATAAATCACCATTTATGTCCGTAAAAGCCGAATGTAGAACTATTTTATCTTCAGATATGAAAAGGTCTCGGTCCATACTACCTATGTCCATTTAAGTGAGAGTTACAAAAAACTTTTTCCCAGTTCTACTAAACCCAACAGTCTCATCAATCATCTTGCCTTTTTGTAGGAGTTACTGTGTATCGGTACATAGGTTTGTGTTTATACAGTTCCTTCAGTATAAAAACACATCTTATTATGAGAGATGTCGTTCATCACGTACTTTATTAAAAGCACTTCATCGCAATCAGACGCTCTTGGAATTAGGAGCCCCGCAATCATCGTTTTGGTTTCAAGCTTTTACCGAATAATTGCTGGATTCTGCTCTCATACCTATAAATCATCCGTAGACGCGATCGCAGAGACTTTTGAAAGTTATTGGTAGTTGCAGTAAAGGCCTCAATGTTAGGTAACTATGCTCAACATTTCCAAAGATGAAATTTATTGCTGTAATTGGACTTTAGCTGATATAAGGTTTTCGTAAAATCGGATCTGAACGAGAGAGATAACTCAATCAAATCTATGGGGCAAACCTAGAACCTTCATTAAATCAATTATGCTGTTTGAGGTTGACAAGTGTCTAGCACGGATAGAAACTGCGGACGGCGCAGGTATCTCCCAGCCCAGTATTATGTTTGAACCTGTCGAATTTCCCTGATCATTAGTTGAGACCACTTATGTCGAACAAGAGAACGGGCTAACGGATACTTTACCATGACATGCCTTTTGAAATTTAAAAAATGGAACGGTACGGAAACACAAATTACCTAAAATTCGTAAAATATAATCTTATTTATTATACAATGAAAATCTATTGGCATATTTTGCTGTGAGGAAACTGTGACCGAACGTTCCCTACAGACACCAAATATGCAACATCTACGCCCATTCAGGCTCCGACCCAAAATTTTAAGCTTCTCAAAGAATCTCTTTCAGAGTTACAGAAGAGAAAATAATTAGCGGAGAAGAGTAACATACATACATAGTTTTCCGTGGTGTACCGGTCATGTAACATCCAAAAAACGCAATTCTAATTTTTGAAATTCCATGCAAGAACAATACCTCCTCACCAATTATTGAAGTTGGAAGTAAAAATGAATGAAATCATAATAGGGAAAAGTTTTGGTACCAAATCAATTCAACACGGCTGATAAGATTAAGGAAATCAGATCAAATAAATAATGTAGTTTTGAAAGCTGGTAGAGTTATTCCTTCAGATCCAAATGAACATAATAAGATTTCGACTGTGTGAGGTAAGCTGGTGAGGTTGACTATTTTCAGCCTTTTGCACGCATACGTAAAGTATGTATTAACAAAATCCTTATACTCGTAATAATTCTTTCTACATCAATAATCTACATCAAATTTACAACAAATTATGTCAAACATTTTTACTCTAGGATCAATACCTTAGTCAGTTTAAAAGGTTTGATGGATTTTGGCATATGCGGTGACATTGAATTCGGCATGGAGTAAGTGTGACATTGGGTATATTCGAATTTTATGAAATCGAAATAACGGATTTTAACGTAAATGTCAACTTTCATGGCTCTGTCTGACAGAAATGGATAAGATCACTATACATTTGATAGCACAATTTAAGTTTCACTCTTTTCAGTTACCACAGTCAAATTTTTTCTGTTCTCAAAAATCAAATCCAAGCGAAAAACCAAAATTTCTGTGTTATGTACCGCGGTTACAATAGGGTTTAAGATGACGTCAGATACTCGAATCTCGAATCGCTTGAACGCGTTGGTTTTAACCGCGGTTTTGTTGCAGGTCGTTTATTATACGTAGAAAAGCGCGTATATATGTATAATTTCTGATTATTCTTATTGTCACTCAACAATCGGTGCTTTTTCGTCCACAACAGCGTATGGAAATTTTAAAAAGAACCCTTTCATAATATTAATGGGAGAAATGTTTTTTTTTTCAGAAAATAATTTTTGATGATGGAACCATGGCTTTGTAGCTATGATAACTTTCAATTCTCTAAACTTTTCCGCATGTCAAAGAAAAAATTATTGATTAGCATAATTGATAGGAAAAAGCGATGAAGAAAGATATTAGCAAAACCGTATGCAGGTCGATATTATTCAGTGAGTTTATATGGCCATATTTTAATATTCTTGTGGTATATGACTACATTCGATACTTTGTTAAGCATAGGGACTAGATTTAAAGTGTCCTCAACAACAGTAATGAGTATAACTAATAAGGTGCTCTATTTTATGGTACAACTGAAGTCAGCCTGTATCAAGTTTCCCAAAAATGAAGCTGAAGTACAACAAAAATATCCAATACCCGGCAAAATTCTAACTTGTCACATTTCAAATCATAACCAGAAATTATAGAACTACTCCTGAGTTAGGTAAATACCACAATTTTGCGGTAATAACTATAATATATAACAGCTGATTCATGACGTGACGGATTTTATAGCCAAACTGATAACCACATTCGCTTGAACGAATCGGTAAAAACCAATCCAAAATGGTAAATACCATTTTCATTTGGTTGTTCGCTTGAATTTGATTAAAATGTATCTATTTTAAGACAAATACCCAATAACTCGGCAACTAATAATCATAAGCTCTTTTAAAAGGACCTATCCCAGTATGTAATAACAAGTAGAACACTCCATTTATAAAAAAGTAATAATCTAGATATGAATATGAACACCTTATATAAAAGTGAATATTTTAGGAATATGCCCCCAGATACCATACATATTAACACAAAAACAGTTTTACAAAAGGTTTTTGTTAAGGAGCAATACTACGTCCACAACTGTTCGGATAGCCTATATCAATGTTTGGATTCGAATTCAGTAGCTGCACAGTATCCAAAATTGAGTTTTGAATTTTTTATGAAAAGTTTCATTTTTGCACTCTAGAAAGTGACTATAAAAACAATAGAGTGGGTTACTACTTGCATATGGCGAAGGTTTGTTTTCTGAAGCACAGACCCCAATCAACCTCAGCACACTCCAGTCTATTGACTCAATAACTCGCAGCGAGTGCAACATTAACTCCAAACTGAAAGTAGCGAAGTGTATACGAACCATTAAGAAAGTTTCTCACACCGTTCTCGTTCCGTTCCAGATCTAATTTACATTCCTCAGATGGAAGTTTCTGTTTCCAGGAGTGAGCACCTCGCCCGTACTCATACATAGTCTAGCCTCTCGCAAAAGTAACGAAATTATTTCAATGTTGTAAACCGTTTAATGGAATTCTAAAAGTTTGGCTAGGATGGCTATAGTCCGGGCTGGGAGTCACTTTCATTCGCAAAATTACTGTGGCACAATTTTCTGCATAATCGTCCTCAAAATTAGCCCATTAGAAAGAATGTGGCGAGGGTCGGCAAAGTTGCCCATCCAATGTTTAAATAATATGTAAAGAAGACTCATTCTTGTTTTTGCTCCAGAATTTTTTTTGGTCATATTTCTAAACTATGTTATATAATTATGTTTTAAGCATGATGGTCAATCTTTGTTTCCAACTCGACATGGACTTCCCCGCCAACGCCCGAGTGCTGTGGGTTTGAAGGGTTCCTTCCCTGCTATGCGGGAAGTAACATTCAGGCATAAGACCGTAAGACGGGTGGCTCTTGTCGGTCCATATCAACAAAGCTTCTGATCCTTTCTTGATTCTTTCCGTTGTATTGAAGGGGTGTGCAGCGACTCTTGCTTCAGTTCTTTCGCGTCTACGAATCAGGCACCTTTCCATAAAACTGCAAATTAGCTCATGTCCAATCTAAGACAACTACAGGCCTATAACTGTGCTTTCTGTTACAAATGAGATGATGAAGAGGTGCATAAATCGCCTGCTTCTGGAGTACCTCGAACATCACGGCTAGATAAGCGACAGGTAGTGTGGTACCCGCGATCCACAGGGGACCAGATAGCTTACGTCACGTTAACCCTACATTGTTAGCTGAATCCACGAGTTGCAATGAAACTCCACCAATTTTTATGTTCCGGCAGTAAATTATCACGACTATTGTTGGAGCAAAAAAGCATAACCAAAGACTTAGAAGAATTCAATTTTTAATTATTGTTCTTGGAGAAATTTAGTATTCCATTGGGATCACTATTAATATCTTTAGCTGCTTGAGAGACATTGGGTGGAGTGAAAGCTTTCAGCAATTATGTATAATCAACCTCACTTGCGCATTTAATCACTGATCTCTAGATGACACAACGAATATCTATCATAATTTCCAAACCCAAACATTATAATTTTTATTAATTGTCTTGACAAAGCCTTTCCGTCTCTTCTTAATCTTTGAATGGGTCAAGTTATCGAGCTGAAACCTGAGATGATGGAATTGATGCATAAATATTACAGAGTAAAAGTGGCAGTTTGAAGATGACTGGACGTGTGTTGAGCTTCATAACATACCACATTATTAAATGAATTAGTTAAAAAACATTCCTCATAAGGTTTCTGTGGGAACTTTTGAGCAACAGAGACACCAAGAATATTCTACTCACGGAGGCAAGATTATATGTCCAACTTAATGTGGCCCAAGGGCCACTTCAAAACAAAAATGCAGTTTGGAGGGCCGCATTATAAAATCTTTCTATACAACATTTTTACTGAGTTTTAATAGGTATATAATATTCTACTTGGTATACAAAAATAGTTTTACTATTATTTTTATTTATTCAAAAAACATGAAATTACAAAAAAATCAGTGGGACATTTGAGGATGTTGGTTTTCTAATACTAATGCATCAATATTAACATTAATATTTGTTGTTGATAAACGAAGTAACTGAGTAAGTGACTTATCAGAGAGGGAACATCTATACTTTGACTTGATAAATTTCATGTTGGAAAAGCTGCTTTCGCAAAGATTCGTGCTTCCCATCATTGATCCCATTGTGTCCGAAGTTTCGCAAATTGGGGTATCGTTCTCCTGGCAGTAACTTAAAAAAGTCCAAGCCAATTTCAGTTCTTCCTTGGTAAAAAGGATCTGATTGCAAATCACACAATTCCAGTTTAGGGTCTGCTCTGCTTACGTTCTCAACAGAAATTGTTAGTGGCTGAGTAAAAACTGAAATGTCGCTTTCGATTTTTTTAAAGTCACTAAATTGGTTTTTGAATTCTTCTGCAATTGTGTCAATGTATTTTATATGAGGTAAATATGAAACTTTCTCAAAATCTTTCATTTCTTCGAAATGTTCTTTACAACTTGGAAAAAATTAAAAATCATTTTTTTGTAATGAAGACTTGAAAAGCTTAATTTTATTCTTAAACCCATTTATGTGTCCAAATAAGTTGGCAATATTCTGCTGTTTTACTTGTAGCTTCAAATTCAATTCGTTAAGGTTAGATGTCATGTCTGTTAAAAATGCAAGGTCTGCTAAAAATTGTGCATCTGTCATTTGATTTTCCAGTTCCGTAGTGTCGGACGTCACTTCATTTTTAAGGAAAATAGGAATTTCCTTGCGTAGAGCGAACACTCGTTGCAAACACTTTCCGGCGCTTAACCAACGAACATCAATGTGAAGTAACAAGTTCCCATATGTAGCGTCCACTTCGGCTAAAAAATCATGAAACTTTCTGTGAGTCAAAGCACGATTGCCCACTCTAACAATATTAGTTATTTTAACAGCCACTTTCATGACATTTATTTGACGTAAAGATTTTCCACATAAGCTCTCTTGGTGAACAATACAATGTATCATAGGACAGTTGATGCTGTTTTGTTTCAATAGTCCTGCAAATCCTATTTCAGTCCCTGTCATAGCTCTGGCGCCATCAGTGACAATACAGGACCATTTATCAAATCCGCCGTAGTCTGACACCAACTTATTCACATCTTCAAAAATATCTGTACCCTTGATTGTACCATGAGAATAGTTCGGATAAAAATTACAAGCCGGCTAATGTCAGACAGATCAGTGCTTCCATCCAGGCATAGCGAAACATATTTACATTTTTCAACCACGTCACGCAATTTTTTGGATACATGTTCATTGATATGGTCCACCCGTCTTGCAATTGTTTGATGTGATACTGAGACTGTTTCAAATTTTTCGGGAAACTTTTAATTCATTGAAATTGTTTCGCCATTTCTATTGCACACTTTTTGATAAGCACTCCATTTCTAAAAGGTTTTTTTGCTTTGGCAATTTCCAGCGCTTATTTTGTAAGAGGCGGCAATACTGCACTTATTATCAGAGTCAGATTTTTTGAAAAACTTGTTTGTTGTTTTAGTTTTTTCTTGTATTCCGTTATAATAGCCTGCCTCGAGTCCCCTGAATATTGCCGAAACGTTTTCTCGTGTAACGTAGTGTCATGTCGTTTCATATTATATTCTTTAGGAACCGATAGTACTTGCATACAAACAATGCACTGAAGTTTATTATTATTGTTTGAGATTAAATATTCTGATTCCCAACGGTCATTATAAACTCGATGTTCGTTCGTTATTTTTCGTTTCTGTGAAGACATAATTCACGGAGTATTTCACTTAAAAAGGCTTTAGAGTTGCTGTGTACTGAAACGCACTAGCACTAGAACAAAACTGCCTGTCCCGCTTGATTCAACCTTCTTATATACGCGCCCGTGGCTTCTCGAATATTCGGGGATGATCGAGAGATCAGTCCAATTTCCAGTAAATTCGCTGCGGCCTGTTATCGGTCGCCAGTGGCGTCACATGTTATTGTATTTTATGGTTAATGTAAGAATTATGCGTATTCGGTATTTGAGAGTAATTTATACATGTTATGTATACATGACCCGTGAAGCGGGCCGCAAGAAAGGAGTTCGCGGGCCGTATGTTGGACAGCCCTGGCCTAGACTATACACCGTTTAAAAGGAATCCTAGAAGTTCAGCTCAAACGCCTTACCGGTGAGAAATATCCATTGTTTCCGACCTTATACAAACTAATAGGGACTTTAAACTTGTATAGCAGCCCGCTAATTGCGAATTTTATGGGAATGGCAACTTTGAAATTACTTCAGACGCATTAGGTTCGAAAGACGCTCGTTATTGGATGAGTTCTCGCAGTGAAGTATACACATATTTCCAAAGCACTATTTCGGGATACCATAGCAATACAATAGCATCGATATGCGAGTTATGAGGGTAGCATACCTTCAAAGAAAAATTTAAATGTTTGTTTTGAAACTTTTAGACTATTTCATGGAATTTTGCAAAAATGGTAGTATACATGTTAGAAATATAATGTCAAGTAGGTTGACTCTGCACTTCCTATGCAACGCCGTCACCATTCATGAAGAATTGAGTTCAGTACGTTAAAAAAAGTTAGTTACGAACATGTATAATAGAGGATTTAAACGGATCAAGTCAGTCAAACAGGCTCATACAATTAATCCATAGACCTAGCTTCCCTGCCGCTTCCGGTAGTATCGTCTATTTGGCAACGTTGCCTCTTCCCATACATGATCGCACCACATGTTAGATGAGGCAGCGTCCATCCCTGCAGTGCGGGAAAAACTGTGGCATGCCCGCCAGCAAACGCAGAGAGCAGAAGCAGCACGCGTATCGAAAGCATACCTTCAAAGCAAAATTGAAATGTTTGTTTTGAAACTTTTAGACTATTTCATGGAATTTTGCAGAAATGGTAGTATACATGTTAGAAATATAATGTCATGTAGGTTGACTCTGCACTTCCTATGCAACACCGTCACCATTCATGAAGGATTGAGTTCAGTACGTTAAAAAAAGTTAGTTACGAACATGTATCACAGAGGATTTAAACGGACCAAGTCAGTCAAACAGGCCCATGCAATTAATCCATAGACCTTGTTTCCCTGCCGCTTTCGGTAGTATCGTCTATTTGGCAACGTTGCCTCTTTCCATATATGATCGCACCACATGTTAGATGAGGCAGCGTCCATCTTTGCAGTACGGGAAAAACTGTCTACCAGACCTGCATGCCCGCCAGCGAACGCAGAGAGCAGAAGCAGCACGCGTATCGAAAACAGTTGTTTATCGCCATCATCATCATCATCAAGTTTTAGACGAAAATCTACGGTAAAATATATGATGTGTGAAATATTGCTAGCGGGTGCATAGAATTATCTAGGTTCGGAGTGTATAAATATACACAAAATTGAGATATGTCCTCCCTCACCTCTTACAAAACTCAACTTACAATTTTTAATTGCTACAAAAAAATTACTGATAATGATCAGGAGCCTCTGAAAAAATCAGTAGTTTGAGCGATGTTTATTCTTTTTTGTGTTATTACCCCTAACTACCACTGAAGCGATTCCAAAAAATAACAAAGCTTTGCCATCCTTGGCATAGTAGTAACGTTGTGTGAAAATTTCATCAAAATCCGAGCAGTACTTTCCAAGTTATAAAGGGCTCAATAATTAGCGTTACAGATAGACAGACAGACAGAAATGAGTGACATGGTTTCTATTGATCTACATGTCATGTACCAGAAAACATAAAATCTTATTTTCGAAATTTTTCGCGATTTCAATACTTCCTTGCCAGAAGGCGTGGGTAGTAAAAGGGGTGTCAGTAGATTATTTGCCATGTATTGACGTCTATTTGAAATTTTAATATGTACATGCAAGCTGAAAATCATCGATACGTAAATTTCATAATTATTTTCTCATATCCTTGATATGCCGGAGTCATATTTCTTACCTTTCGGATCCATAAATGAGGTGGGTCAGAATTATCGGTCAATCTGTGTGTTATGGTAGCGGTTTTGGGTGTGTGTACGCATGTTCGGAATCGCTTTTCGCTTTCGGGACGACAGGCGAGCGTAATGTATCCGGTACATTCAAAACAACAGATAAACTGGTATTCGGTTATAGCTTTGGAGATGATGGACATCTTTTGGAAGTACGAGTGACTTTCCCGGGACCGGAACCTGTTGAGAGTGTTGAGTTTGCGCGGCGAGATTTCAAGATTACGGTGGTGACTACGCGCGACCTTGGTCACGTTGTACGGTACTCGAGAGGCAACAACTACTAAGTTCAGAGGGTGATTGGTTAGGTTGTTCTTAAAAATAAGTTAAAGTGAACATTATGTCCGGAGTTGCTTCGTTTCTGAGATACAAACGGTATTTCTGTCAGACACTCAATAAAATTGAATGCTGTTGTGTATCTTATAAGAAGGATATCTTGTTCATTTATTTCAAGGTCGAAATGGATAATTTTTTATTTTTGATTTTTTTTTGTTCGAAAACAAAGCTATATATAAAGAAAATACAAACGACCAAAAAGGAATATTTTTAGAGACTTAATATAAAAAATATAAAACCTACAATTCATTGACGTACCCTTCTTTCTAAATAATATGTGTGGAGCACACTTGGATGCCACTAGACCTAATAATACCAATCTATGTAGAGCTAAATCAGCGTCTTTTTCCTTCAAATAATTATATCAAGTATGATATTTCATAAATATTGTTATTTTTCAAACTTCAACGCCTTGTACATCAAAAATGAAGCAACTCCGGTTATATAGTATGTTCAAATGCACGAACTAAAGAATTACCTTCTGAAGCTTTGTACTGTAGTTAGACAGTCAAGGAAGGTTAGTAATTATTTCAATCCAGCATCTGTGCTTTCATTTCGCGACCAGTAAAACATGAATATTTATTCACGAGACAATCACAAAATAATTTTGTTACATTAGTTGAAAATTTCAGTATTTTTCAAATATAACGAAGAGTCCATATTTAATATCTTAAAAAATGGTTGGCTGGCAGGCTGTCAAAGTTGAGTGTCTGTATGCATCGCTTATAACTTAGCAACCAATCCTCAGAGCTTGATTGTATATCAACTTATTTTCTTTTGGAATTGACTATTTGAATGTGCATTAAAATATGGGTTAACCCGCACGGATATTATGTAAAAAACCTATAAAACGTCAGAAAAAACCTACAAAATGTCATCTTGCAGACTAGATAGTTTTTAGGGTGCAAACAGTCATTCCGCGTTTACTCACTAGGATCGTTGTGAGCGTCCAACTATAGAGGAATGACTCAACTACACGCATTGTTGGTTGTATATGTTTTGTGAAGCAAAGCCGAGTAATCTTTAGTTTTCATCTCTGAGAAGAAAGTTGGTTGAATAACAAGATCGCATCTGGATGATTATGTGTATTTGTCTGAATGTGTATAAGATCAGTGATATTTGCTGTGCGAGAAAATCGTTACTGAATATGCTGCAAATGAAGTGTATCTATTAGCTGTGCCCGACGGGTTGCTTATAAGTTGTCCAATTCGAAGGTAGGTTATGTTCAAAGTTATAAATTACGAAAAACTTTGAGGAGAAATACGGGAAATCACCACCGCGCCAGCGTTGTGTGTAATTTTTATTAGCATGTATGTAACATATATGACTTGTAATTCGACAGTGTACAGTGAATATAATTACTTCTTATCTCTCTCACTTTTAAAATTGTATGTAATTTCCAGAATGGATGAGAAAAAGTGGATGCGCAACTAATTTCTAGCATTGAATCTCAAGTAAGTGTATATGAGACAAGAATCCCATGGAATTATCATCAACACATACAATATAGCTTAGACCTCCAGTAAGGCCAACTCTGATTTTACATCAGATCAGAGCCAAACATTGATAACTGAAGCCTCATGACGTTTAGGTAACACGTACAACTGAAAAACGAGTTCAAAACGTATCGATCAGCTAGTGCTAAGCTAACATCTTTCGGAAAAACCTACATAATGTCACAAAAAAAAACAAAAAAAGACTTTTCTACAAATGCAATATTCCATGTTTTGTTACATTTTCGGATAGACTCTTCAAAAAGAAGATTTTGATGGTTGGTTGTCGAGCCATGAGCAATTCACTGTACAAA